GTCAGAGACGCAGCCAAACAATATCACCTGGTACAAATTAAAGATCCCTACAATATTGGTCAGCATGCAATTTCATGCGATTTTGAGCTTTTAACAAATTTTCTCACAGAATTTTGAGCATATCATCCCTCAATTCCAATTGTTCTTCCAATTCAGCCATTGAAGTTCCCCCCTGACATAGGGAAGGAGTGGAGGAGGGTCCCTCCCATATACTAGCTTGAAGGGAGTGTTTTGGGCTGATGCATGAAAACTTGTATTAAAGGAGAATTCTGCCCAACAAAGGAATCTACTCCATAACTTGGGTTGTTCATGAGTGAAACACCTCAAGTAAGTCTCCAAACAGCGATTCACAACCTCAGTTTGACCGTCCATTTGAAGATGGTAAGCAGTGCTCATATTTAAGCGAGTTTGGCTTAAATGAAAGAGTTCTTGCCAGAATGCACTTAGGAAAAGAGAATCACAATCTAAAACAATGGATCTAGGCATGCCATGCAACCTGACTATTTCTTGGTAGAACATTCTAGCTACAGACTTAGCAGTATATGGATGGGATAATGCAAGAAAATGAGCATATTTACCAAGTTGGGCAACCACCACCAAAATCACATCAAAGCCTCTTGATTTAGGTAGGCCAGTGATGAAATCAAGAGATATATCTTCCCAGATACGTTCAAGGATAGCAAGAGGTTGGAGTAGGCCTGCTGGTGGAAGAGTTTGATATTTGTTTTGTTGACAGGTTGTGCATTGCTGCATAAAGTGTTTTACTTCATTCTTCATGCCCTTCTAATAAATGTGTGCACTAAGCCTTTTCAAAGTTTTTAGGTACTCGTTATGTCCTCCTGTTGGTGTGGTATGGGCTTCTTCCATCAATTTAGCCCGTAAAGAGCCTCCTTTTGGAATGACCAATAGAGATTTGTCGTATAATCTGCCATTGACTAAACTGTAGTTGGAGAGTGGGTCCAGGCTTTGCTATAACTTTTCAATTATTGTCTTTGTCTTAGAATCATCCAGCAATGCTTGAGGTAGTTGATTAATGTCTTCCACCATAGTAATGACTATTTGCATCAATTCTGCTACCAATGGTTTTTGAGAGAGAGAATCAGCAACTGCATTGTTCTTCCTCTACTTTTAAATGATAGTAAAGTCAAATGGGAGTAGTTTAATCAATAGCCTTTGTTGAGTGGAGTTCAACACTCACTGATCAAGGAGATGCTTGAGGCTGTAATGGTCAGTTTGCACAAAGAAACGACGTCCCAATAAGTAGTGTCTCCACTTCTGAATAGATAAGACCAAGGCTAGGAGTTCCTAATCATATGCTGGCTTGAAACGGTTAGAAAAAGAGAAACCCTTGCTAAAATATGCAATAGGGTGATCCTCTTGTATTAACACAGCCCCAACTCCATCCATAGATACATCACTTTCCACTGTAAAGGAAAGTTGGAAATTTGGCAACTTTAGTACAGGAGTCGTTGTCAAAGCAACCTTCAACTTTTCAAAGGCTTTTTGAGCTTGGTCGGACCATTCAAATGCCTCCTTCTTAGTCAAGTCCGTCAGGGGCCGAGCTAGCATGCCATAGTGTTTTATGAAGCGTCGATAGTAACTTGTGAGTCCCAAAAATCCACGCAACTCCTTAACATTTTTGGGAACAGGCCAATTCAGAACTGCTGCCTCTTTTTCTGGTACTACCTCCACTCCCTAATTTGAGAAAATGTGCCCCAAGTAATCTATTCGAGTTTGCCTAATAGAACTTTTTTTTTGCATTAGCAAAGAAGGACTGTTGTTGTAATAACACTTGAAACACAATACGGAGGTGCTGCAAATGTTGTTGGGCAGTTGCACTATACACCAATATGTCATCAAAGAATACAAGCACAAATTTTCTTAGAAATGGCCTAAACACATCATTCATAATGGATTAAAATTTAGCTGGTGCATTCATAAGGCTGAATGGCATCACAACAAATTCATAGTGCCCTGAATGGGTCTGAAAAGCAGTTTTATGAATATCCGATGGCAGCATAAGTATTTGATGATACCCAGAATGTAAATCAATTTTTGAGAAATAGGTAGCCCCATGTAGTTCATCTAATAGCTCATCGATATTAGGAATAGGATACTTATCTGGTGTGGTGATCTAATTGAGACACCGATAATCAATACAAAGGTGCCAAGACCCATCCTTCTTGCTAACTAACAGTACCGGACTAGCAAACGAGCTGAAATTGGGTCTAATAAACCCCCTGCTCAAAAATTCTGAGATCTAATTTTCTATCTCATCTTTTTGAAAATGGGGGTACCGATAAGGCCTTAGATTGGGTGGCGGCTAACCTAGAAGTAATGTGATGGCATGGTATTTTCCATGGGCTGGTGGTAATGACTTGGGTTCTGTGAACACCTGAGCAAATTCATCAAAAATGGTTTGGGCAATTCTTGTATCAAGCTCATCATCCTCCTCTGCTTTGCGCGTTAACACTAAGCTTTGGAGACGCACTGCAGCATTAGTCTCAGGCACTACTCCCTGCAGTTTGTATTCTTTTTCCAGCTACCCAAAAAATCATGAACATCTGATTCCAGTTGGCCTCAGTGGTATTTAGTGATGCTAACTATTTAATCCCCAACACCAGATCAGAACCACCGAGGTAGGGACCAGGCGTTGAAAAATAGCATAACAGGAAAATGGAGTACGAAAGGGAAAATTCTAATAGACAAAACTGCAAGTATCTCACAATACTCTCTAAAAGACCAAAGGAGTATCTCCAATATGAGTGAACTCTCTGAAAACGTCGTCTCTTACTCCTGAGGCTAAAGAGCCTTCTTATAATGAATTACAGAGAGAGAATATACTAATAATTCAAGGATAACAATCAGCAACTAAATCTGGAACTAATTCTAACGTTAAAGTGGGGTATCCCACTTATTTCGCAACTGAAACTTAAATCAGAAAATAATAATAAAAATATTGAGAAACAACTATTCCATATCTGATTTTTCTCTGCCACGCTTCCCCTTTCTTGAATAAGTCAACTTAAATCTGTTAGGTAGCGTATCAAATAGCTGTGGCACAATATTAAATATGACAGCACCAATGGCGGAAAAATAAGGTCATATGGAAACGTCCAGTGCTGGTGAAAGGCCCTCTGGGAATTGTGTCTACAATAGATCTAACATTCTTCGTTAGGTTCATTGCCCTCCTCGTTTGGTCTCTTTTGGATTATTTGATCAACAGTTTCTCCCGAATCACCAAGAGTCAGCAGCGAAATCCGGCGAGCAAGTGTACGACCTTTATTTTATACTCCTTCACATGTTAACGAACTAAAGTTACACTGATCTATCCCTTTGAACGTGGATGGAATTACTTGTTCTCTGTTTTTTACGCAAAAGAAACAAAGAAGATCCAGAGATATAGAAGGCTCATCACCGTGTCACCATCTTCGATGACTTTCAATGCAGATAGAGAATTGGAAAGCCTTTCTTATCAGTCCTTTGTTCAAGCTACTAGCGTACGCTATGGTGAAAGACCTGACCTAAAAAGTAAGCTCTCTTTTTTTCTTTTCTTTTCCTTTTTTTTTTTTAACTTTTCAAATTTTACTTTCCTTTGTTTACCATGACCTGCACACACATGCATGTACGCCCACGGCCCATCTGTTTGACGAGAATTCTGAGGTGATTGATGAGTTTGAATAAAAAATTGAACTTTTTTTGGGTTGATGCAGGAATGATTCTTGAACTGAAAGATGAGTCAAGCGTGGGAATTATTTTATATCAAGTCCGAGGAAGATGATGAGGCAAGGTTGCAGCCATTTGCTCTTCTGGTTTAGCAAGACTATGCATTTTGAGCCCATCAGCTCTGGCTGGTAGGCCTATAATTTATGTTTCTCTTGTTGTAAGCAATTTATTGTCATCAAATCTTCTAAATTTCAGCGGTAAGAGCTGCCGAAAGGGCCAGCTTGTGGCGGTTCATTTAGCTAGCCTAACAAGCGTGCATATAGACTTGTTGCTTTGGAATATATATGAACAAACCTAAGTATTACAAATCATTTGTTCGATGCTGTTGTATGTTGATGTGAGTTCACATAAAAGAGTTTCCCTGACAATCAAATTGTCCGGAGATTCGAGTAATGAAAATACAAATTTTGATCTTTTCAGCAATCTCAATCAAATAAAGCACTTAAATTTTCAAGTTTGATGAGAGCAGTTAGATTTTGAGTTTTACATCTTTTATCTAAATTATTACATTTTTGTTCTAATTTATCCGTTAAGAGATAGTTTTTATATGCATTATGTTCTTCGGAAACAAAATGTCAATTGAAGAACAAAGTTCAATACTAAACGCTCTAAATAAAATGTTAACGTATTTGTGTTTGTTTATATACATACATACAGATATATATGTATATATATATATTCAAATTTCAGCATACCTAATTGAGATAACTCAAATTAAAAAGTATTAAGTGGAATAAATAATTTTTTGATGCAAGAGTCAAAAGCATAATTATTTTTTCATCAGAAGGGCAATGAGAAATTTTATTCATTGCATTACATGATCCAATTTTGCTTGGGCAAGGGCCATCTTCGGACCACCTTGAATTTAGACAAAGTCAGATTTAAAAATGTCTTCGTGTAACACATAAATTATGATGCTACAAGAACTTAAAAGTCATCGTGTTATTTTTAAAATTACTATTACAGTGCTTCTTAAATGTAACGCGCATTCTTCGTAATATTTCAAATTCTCACATGGATGACGCATATAAGCAAACTCGGGTCACAAACTAGTTTGCTCGTGAAAATTCTCTTTCGGACCCTAATCTCTCTTATTTTTATATTCTAAGAAAGATTAGTTTGTTGTGTTGATAAAGAATAATTCCAGTTTTGACGACGAGATCAGCGATGAGAAAGGTTGCAGAAACATTTCAGATATGCCTAACTTCTGCTACGTGTTCCTCTCTCCACGTCTCTTGTGCTATCTCTTTATTCATCAAAAGTGGGGAAAAAAATTAAGTTGCATAAATCCCACTATAAATGTTAAAGCTCACCAGGAGCAGAAAGAAATATATACATGTGGATCTATTCATCCTCCTACAAAAACGTCTTGCCGTCTGTGAATAGGCCAAAAATTTAAAGGAAAAAAAAAAAGAATAATAATGGAATTCTCAGTCATAAACAAGCCTCCCTAAAGAAATTTCTATCCTCTTTCTATACCTAAAAATACAATTCCCTATTCACTGGATTAAGCATGGATAATATGTTGTGTGAACCCAGCATATAGATGTAATTTCTTGGCCCCCACAATCAAAGAGAGAGTAAATTCTTTTTGCGTGTGACATCTTCTCAGTCACTTGGTCTAGATTACTTCAACAGGAAACCATTACGAACCAGAGAAATTCTACGAAAATCAAATCTTCTTTCAGTTCCCATCCACACTTCCAACAGGTGAAAGTTTCTCTGCCAGGTCTCCAGTAAATCATGATATTCAATGAATGCCGCGTGCGACTGTACAGCATAGATAACCAGAGGCAGCAGGAGATTATTTTTTCTTATTAACAAAGTATTATTGTTCTGTTATCGTAATTCATGCTGAGAAATGGAAAAGTCATACCTGCAAGGTATTGCTGTATGCTTTCCACAACCGAACATCATGTCGGAATAGATCAAAAAGAACCTTGATTTTACCCCAACAAAAAAGAAATAATAAAATAAACGCAATGGTCGAGAAAGTTAATTACAGCCAAATGGCTGCTAAACCATGAATGATTCAAATATGTCAAGACCTATCCTCAGACTCAGATATAGAAACCTCTTCAACAGGGAAGGGGATAAAATTTATGAAAAACCTTTTTTTTTTCCGGTGAACTGAGAAACTCAGTTTTCATGGCATGCGAAAGATTGGCATATCCTTCTTCCATTTGTGCCTTAAAACATTTTTTTGATTCACTAAAATGCACAAGACATCTTTCTACAAAGTCCAGCTTAAAATGTTGTCATGCATTTTAATCCATCCAAATTTAGTCGTATCTGCTAACCATGTTGAATTTTGTCAAACAATTCCACCAATGCTATTTTTCCCAAATTGCTATGATACTAATGAAGTTGGTAATATATTGAACAACAAAGCAGATGTTGGGTTCATTTCATGTAAAATCTAAAGAATGCTGGGTCCATTGTTATTATTCCTTTGCAAAAAAGAAAAAGAATATATCCGATTTTCAGTCATTGACATCTGAAAAGTAGTCGCTCACAACAAATTTAGCCGTAGAATACTTTTTAAGTGGGAAAACTTAGAACATTAAGACAGCCAGGACTTAACCGATGCCAGAAGGTAATCTTGTCCAGCGGATGCTCAAACTAAGTTTAAAAAGGAGTTAGCCCCATTAACAAGAATTTTCATTTAGAATTCAAAAAAGTTTAAATTGCTATACTAAAGTCAAAATATCATGTCCTAAGAATCTTAGAAACCATTATCTAGCATCAAACATACCTCAGATCGGCGCAAGAGAGTCGCCAAGACAACTATCCATTCTTTGAACTTGACAGAACACATATGTGACAGAAGAAATTCTGCATCCAATCGGCTCTGTAATGTTCCCATTTGAAGCTGAGAACACAAGAGCGTGCAATAAGCAGGAGAAAAAAAGAGGGGGGGGGGGGACATTGCTGCAAATAATCTAGAGAACTTGGTGACAATTCAAGGCCTGCTTCGAATGTGATAAGGAAAGCATAAACAGCAACAAGCAGCCTTATTATTTTTTTCCATTAAATGGGGTCAACTATATGAATTACACAATGCTATTATGCTCCATTTGCAACCAATTCTAATATAGTATTCACCAAAGGACCTCAATTGATAACTCCCCCAGCTATCCTTCGTCTTTGTGTGTGTGTGTGTAACTTCCTTGATTGATAACTTTCCTGTGACATTTTAAGAAAAGTGGTACTTAAATTATTATTGATGCTTTATGAAACAAGGAAAGCATCGCTTTTCTTAAAATGTCATAAGAGATTTTAGAGTGCAACTGAGTGGATTTATTAATCCATAGTGACAAAGTTACCCAACAAACCCTTGCATTTTTTTCCAACTTCAGGCTACAACAAAGTTGGGCAACATCATCACAACTCATAAAGAGGGTATTGAAAAGAAGAAAGTAGCATCGCAAACAAACTTATTATTAAGCCGCTACAACTTAAAAGCAAACCTTTTGGCTTATTAGTTCAAGCCCTGATGCAAAATTCTCAAGCCGAGCACTCCCGTATCTTTCACGTTGAAGATACTCCTGCAATTGATTGCCATTAAACAGCTTAACCACTTTTAACCAAAAGAAAACAATCTGTCCGGAGGGAGAGATTGGAATAAAGGAACTAGCAATCTTCTTACCACTAAATCAAACTGAGTTCCTTTGACAAATGCAACAAGCTTTGAGAGCTCTTTCCCAGACATCAAGTAGCTAGCATGGCTTTCTAAAATATTCTTAACAGAGGTAACATGGGCACTCTGCTCCTTGAATGAGGAGCTGATTTTGGAACGAAAAAAAGCTTGTTAGGATGGTTGGTGCTAATGATATCCATGCTGTGAATAAAACAAAGGACATTCACTATGTGTACATCTACCTTTTATTCAATGACTGCCTTTGGTGACTAGAACCAAAAATAAAGTAACCCAAAAATCTAGGAGACAAAGAATCACTTGATGCATGATCGAATTCCCTGCCAGATCTCAGCAAGAACCTCACCTGATGACCCAAAACAAATAATTAAGGAAAAGGTATTGCTTCTTCTGTAAAGGACACGCTACTGATCAACCAAATAAATAAGTAATCCTAGTTTCAAAACTGTACCAGCTCCCCAGCAAGTTCGTACAAAGATTCATCAAGGGTAGCCTGCATATATTTTGCAATCCTCATCATTGATATGGCTTTAATTGATCAAACGTTAATGAAGATAAAATAAGCAAAACGGTTTAGCTCAAACCTGTAATAACCTTAAAGCACAATACTGACTAATAGCAGGGCCTTCAAGTTTAGCAATCACCTGTTATATTTAAGATGGAATAAATTGATCATTTATTCTAAAGATCAGGATTCCCTCTTCTGAAGAGAAGGACTTAGACATTAAAAGAAAAAAGATATATTAAAAAAGAAGAAACAAATAAGCCATAACGTTTCCACAGGTTAAGCATAAAAATTAAAAATAATATACATAGATATAGACACACAATAAGAAAAAGGTACTCATGCTTACGAGTATGTAGCAAGCAGCAGTGCGGTACCATCTTCGTTGAAAGCATTCCTCAAACAGTCTATTAGAAACGAAGGGGGAAAAAATGATTTATACAATTAAAATACAACAATAAAACAAGCCCTATAGTTTACACTTTACACTAAGAACTAAGATAAAACACAGGTAACTTCATTTAGGAGAAGCAACCCCAAAAAAAAAAAAAAAATCATGGGGGAGTTAATATATTCCTTTACATTTTGCCATAATAAGATTTTATTCAAGATAGCAGAGATGTGTCATTCTAAATAGCTGCACAGCTAAACCGTTGTTGTTTTATAAATTAGAAGTGCGATCATTGTCAGACTTGCTTTCCCCAGTCTATTCATAGTGCTAAACCACTTGCTTTCTGTTAAGTGTTCTATTCCCATTAAAAAAAAGTGTTCTGGTGTAGAGAGAGAGAGAGCCTGACGTGTTGGAAAACTACGTGACAGGTGCCATGGGAAAAGAATCCAGCAGAAATCCACGAGATATTGTCCACGAGATATTTGCAGAAGAACAGTTCTTTAATTGAGTATAAATTTAGATAATAGTAAACAACTAGAGATCATCAAGTCTACCCTTTTCTTACAAGACAGGGTATAATGAACTTCTTAAGTACAATTCTAAACATTAGTTACAATTAAAATTGAAGGTAAATAAAGAAAGAATGAGGAAAATAGATGCTTGAAGGACATACTCGGCTGATTTACCAGCAGCAGCAAACAAATCTGCCCAATGACGACCATCGGTTTTTCTTGCAACACTTACAACAACATCAAGGTACTCTGGAAAGCTTCTGATCAAATCACAGGTCTTCTCCAGAAGAGAGCGTTTAGCAGGTTTAGACACAGCGATCTGGTTCTTATTTACATTTTGCCTGCAGTGATTCAATTGGAGAGTAACCAGACAAGACAAAATAAATTGAAGGGGGGGGGGGGAATGTTCCATGAAGAAACAAGGACCTGGAAAACCTGAAACCCTCGTTTTAGCATAACGAGATTGAAAGTACCTGGATATATCTGCCTCGAATACTGTGAAAAGAAGCCACTCAAGACAATGTGAAAAATGAGGCTTCTCTGCTGATAGTTCTGCAAGTCTTAAAGCTTCCTCAATTTTGTCCCTCTAGCAGCCGCAGAAATAATAAGAAAAGAATTACACGAGATCTTTTATTTTTTAATACAAGAATCAAGAATGGGATCAAAGAACACCAGAAAAAAGGAAAAGAAAAAAAAGCACATTAAAAACATCGGAGTATAACCATATTACAGTACTATGGCCCCAAATCTCTCTAAATCGGCGTTAACCTACAAAAGTAATCATTTAATCCACAGAAAGGACCCAAAGGGAGTTCCGTAAAGGAGCAATTTAGTAGGTCGTGCATCTTCAATATACATCTTTCATGGACCCAAATGATAGTTTAAATTTAAGAAATTTAATACCTGAAGAAGGTGCCGAAGTAGGCAGTGCAATATTGTTTGTGCCTGAGGAGTGGGTTCAAAACATGGAAACTCTGTGCTTGCTGAAAATGACATTCTCTGAGAAACACCAACAACCACACCAACATTTGGAAGAAGTCCCAGAGGGTATACTTCACGATCAAACTCCAATTCCGGGTCCAACTGAAAAATTCAATGAGTTCTAACTCAGCAACTAAACTGAATCTAGAAATAAACTCCAGCAAAGTTGCATCAGAGCCTAAAATACCATTTTTAGAAGCCTTTGCATGTCTACCAGCTAAAATATACAGATGATAATGTCTTTTTCAAACACTAAAAAGAAACAATGAGAAGCAAGAAGAGAAAATATAATTTTGGTTAACGCAATCTACTACGTATAAACAGTCAGTGCAATAATCTATACACAGACCTGCACGAAATCCTCCTGTTTATACGGATCCGCACCTGGAGATGGATACCAGACCTGTAAAAATGAATAAGCACGAATAAAATATTCAGACAAGTAAAACGGAAATAAACCAGAGGTTAAACCAAAAATTGGCATTAAACCGAGTAAAATAGAATGACATATATACCGAACACAAGAAAGTTCTCGTATGACCAAAAATTGACAGTTAATTACCTGCATGCCTCGGTGACCATAATCTAACCATGAAACTTCCTCTATTAAATTTGTTTTATCCTCTGAATGGCCACAAGTAACCCAAAATAATTCAACCGAATCAGTAAGCTTTCTCTCACGTCCATCATCCAAATCAAGAAGTGAAAGCTCCCCATTTGCTCTCAATATCAAACACCTAAAAGAAATCATTTTCAGGAGGAATGTAACATGAAAAGTGAACAGCCTTCATCCCACTTTCTTAGTTACCTTTGGCTAAAGGAATCAAATTAATTTAGGTTATATTGAAAAAAGAAAAGGAAAAAAAATATTTTCTCCTGGCCTTCAGAATAAAGATAAAAACAGCTAACTGCAGGAAGGCACATATAATTCTTATGCCTAGTCCACAGCAGCAGTTGAAGTAGATAAACTTTTGTATATTTAGTTTGGCATAAGAAAAGGGTTATATAGGATACTGAGGTGTTATATTTAATGAATTTTCTAATGGTGACATTTTAATTGGACCATATAAATTAAATGAGGTAAAATTGATCAGGACAAAAAGAATATAAGCTGTTCGCAGGGCATACCTTGCTGGTTCTCTTGCTAATGAATCCGACATTGATGAAACATCATTGTTTGACACAGACTCTGTAGAGCATTGATCGGGAATAAAGCGCATTGCTGCGGGGTGGCTCTTGGCAGTCATGATAGAAAGTTCTCGTACTGTAGAAAGCTGTTCGCCATGTTATAACTTAAAAATGTATGGTAAACAATGTTCACTGATGAAATTTCAAATACAAATCAAAACAAGTTTCAACGTCCCAAAGAAGAGTGTCATTCACAAAAAGAATAGAGAATAAAAACAACAAAAGTAGGCATTTACCTGTAAATCTGGATTGCCTGAAGGTGTCAACTCACCAATTAATTTTACATGCAATATGTGGACGTCAAAAGGTTTATACGTAACCAGTATATAATCTTGATAGACATCCATCACCATTGGTTTAGCAAGAAGTGACTTTCGACAGAGTAATGAACTTTGATCAAGGTGATATCTTGGGTAAAAGAGCAATTCATACCTGAAACATTGGAAAAAAAGAAAAAACGGTGCCTTGATCTTTAAAACCACTAGGAGAAGAGAAAAATGGTTCCATGTATTGCAATATGCTTCAGAGGAAGTTACAGAAATCAGCTTTCACAAGAGCCGTACTAAGGTGACATAAATGAGGGAAAAAATGGAGAGCCGTCAAAATTGAGGCTTCACAAGAGTATGCACTGCTATATATTAATTGGCTGCAAAGAATCTATATCTGACATAACAAACTTGTAAGAATCAACTACATGCAGCATTTAGATACAGCAAAGTATCTCACGTGTTGGAAGAATCAATATAGTTGCAGACGACAACAATCTTCCCCAGCCATAACAAACCTTTGCATTGAATCTTTTGTTCCTGGGTAACATCACCAAAAACTCGCCACCTTCTTAATCGTATATCATACAATATCAAACCATGGAGACCAGCAACAGCTAAGTACATTCCATCATTGCTAGCTGCAACATGCTGAACGGGCCAGTTTTGGGAGATATAGGAAACCTGCACGTTTTCAAACTTTGTCAGAGGTGTTCATTAAGTGAAGACATAGAGCAAAGCACAAACATTTTCATAACCAAACACAATTGGAATTTGGACCCAAAAGAAAAAAAACACATAACTGGAAGATTAAGATGCAGCATTTTGAGCTCATCAGTCTCTTCTGATTGCACAATAAGTAACCGGTCTTCCCCATAGATTACTTGCCGGATGTAATTGGTGCCTGAAACACCTCTGCTAAGACAGCATTTGCCAAAAGAGAATGAGAGAACTCTCTCTGAAGATTCCTCCTCAACAGCATAAAGTCTATAACCATATTCATCCCACTGCAAAAGTGACGTCCCACCCATCAATGGTTCATGTTTAGATTCCTGGTTTGGCTTAGCCATTGGAGAAGATACAGAACTTAAACCTATTTGTCGAATTGTAGACATCAAACGACATCCAGAAACAGACCAAACAGCAAGTCCCCTTAATTTCCACCCAACTGCAAAAGCAGAGTTATCAGGTGTCCAAGCAATGCAATTAACAGAACCAGTGTCATCCATTGAGTATCTGCCAAAGAGTCAGACCCATCATACTTCATGACATAGATCCAAAACCATCTTAATTGGCAAAATGCATGAAACGCAATCTAGTGATATTATGAAAATATGGAAAAGTGATTATTGCAATAATATTTCTATCTACTCAGCTATATAAGTTTTATCGCACTGAATATGGTCAGAACAAATTACAATGTACTGTTCTTCAATTTAATGATGATAGAACAAAAATAACAAATTAAGCAAATGGCAGTACGAGGATTGAAGAACATCATATGGTAACAAAAAATTAACGTAGAGGAAGCATGTGAGGAGCAAACTGACTGAGAAATAATGTTATTTAAAATGTGTACATATAGCTTACCCCCAGTCATACAAAGAGACCGTGCGTATGAGTGATGCAGATTCACCAAGATCATATAATTCAACTGTTCCTCTCCTGGTACCAACAGCAAGGATTTGCTGCTCTGGAGCTATTGAAGCACATACAGCATCACCACAAGCCAACCTCTTTTCTGATTTAATGGACTCAACCTGCTTTAAACCTTTCTTACTTACAGAACATGAGACAAGTTGCCCATCAGAATATAAGACAAAAAGCAACCTCAATGGAAGACAAAGCTCCAGCTGGACAATTGCAGACTTTGTAGGGCCATTGTTGTTGGACATAAGAACCCTGGGATGACCTTTAGGAGAAAGGCCATTGCCTAGAGTAAGTGGTACCTGAGAATCTTCAATGACTTGAGGATGTGGATCAAATTCAAAAGCCCCACCAAACTGTTCAGGAGAAGATGGAACGATGATAATGATGTCTAACATCAAAAGCAAAAAATTACAGAAAAATCTGTTGAACATTAGCACTCTCTGAATGCCTGAAGAAATGTGTAAAATTGAAATGGATGGCGCAAATTGCTGAATTTGATATATCCAAATTACCTCTCCCTTCCAAGATATACTGTACAAAGTTCCATCAGAAAGTCCAAGCAGCATGTGTTTGTTATCACTTACAATATTGCTCCTGGCAAAAAGGTCATAGAAGGAAAAGTCTGAAGCGAACACTGAGAATGGCTTCACATTTTTAGCCACATAGAACAAAGTAAAACGCAAGACCTGACATTTTCCAGGAAGCATTCGAAAATGGTGGTACATTGGAAGTTTTAAATAAAAAAGGTGGTAGGATCCATGTAACACAATCGTCACAATAGATAGACTCAGAAGATGGGAGATAGACATAGTTACTCCAACAAGCCTTTTCACATAATCATGGGAATGTAAACTTTCTAAAGTTGTTTTAAACATGTAACTTATTTAGTCCAGTTTAGTCCAGTTCTACTACTCAGCAAAATTCCATGCTATTCTACCATCTGTATTTCCAACTTATAACTTAATAGTGAAAACCGAGCCTAAAACAAATATGTTAATCAAGCTCCTTCAAAAAAGCGAAATCTAAGGTGCAGCTAGTTTCAATAATAATGAAGGTATTCTAGTAGCCAAAGGGAGAAGCAAAGTTAATGTCAATCATGGAAAAAGTAGCATAAACAATTTATACAATGCCTATTATATCTCTATTGCTATTATTCAACAATGCATATTTCTTTTAATAAGAGATTGTCATTTCCATTCACGTCTTTGTTCCTTCCCTTTCAGTACCTAACATTCTGCGTTAATTACATAAGACAAAATCTTAGTATCAATATGACCACCTCCCTGTTCAGATATCATGCTAGTGAAATTTTTGTTCAATTTTCTTAACTCATACAGATAAAGAAAATCATAAAATAAAACCTAGACAGTGACACCTACAGTGTTAAATCCTTCACTGCAAAGGGCAATTGTTCACTCAGAAGAAGAGATATCGTAGCAAGGCGCAAAGCTGAGGGTTGCTTCCCTCCAATATGCATTCTTTTTTCTGAGATTTGTGCCTTGAAAATGTGAAGAAAGAAAGACGATGTCTGCAGATAACGTCATAAGAAAATACAGAAGCATTAGGGCATCTACATCATAAGATGACTCTTAAGCAATCAAAGACTAACAGGAACAGAAATATGAATCCATCAACGGAATAGTTTATAAGTCAGAACACAATATAGTACTTTGTGATATAAATTATTAGTAGCGTGAACAATATAAGAACAGGAGATGAAAGTAAACATAGAATCTCACCAAAAACAATCTTTAGATATGAATGAACTTATATTGCAGACAAGTTGCCTATTCTGAATTACAAGCAACAAGTCTCATGGCTCTTCTTTCATCTAAGAACAACGTTGTCCTCAATAAGCACAAAATTTCGTACGCCAGCTTGGCAATATTGACATTTTGATTTAACATGCATATGTTCCACATTGATACGCTAGATCCCACAAAGATAAACTACGGATTATTCCAAATAGCACGCTAAACGATGTATATTAAACATGTGACGAAGAAACTCGAACTGCCTTACATAGATATTCAACAAACGAATGAAAGGAAACTTACGATAATGGCTATTAATTTTGCATCAGGGCTCCACACTGCCTGCAAATTTTCTCCTTCCCTTTGCAATGAATCTGAATCTCTCTTGTACTTGGCCAGTCTCACTTTATTCTGAAGCCGACACAAAAACCACAATACAGTCAAACCTAGAATCCATTCTCTGGGTCCATTAAAATTCAGTTTTCTTTTCTTTTAATGCAAGAAAATGGAGAACACGAATTCATAACAAAACGACTGCTTCACATGAAGTACAAGCACACGTACCTGGGAAGCACTCCATAGCTCGAAGTGAGTGGGGGATACGACGAGTAATTGATGATTAATGACCCTGAGGTATATAATCTTCTGGATTGAGGGGCAGAGTCCCTGTTCAAGCGGAATGACCTGAGGCCATCCATATGCCATATACATCTTGTCGTCCTGTGTTAGTTCTTAGATTTGCTTCAGATGAATGAAAATTATCATAGATCTGAAAACTGGAAAGAGTGACTAAGAAATGTAAAGGAGATCACAAGCATTTCCTGGTGAAAACTGATGCCCCTGCTTCAGCTTGATCCACAATTGAGAAGAACGAAGGAGAATTACGATGGGGGCGAGGGAAAGTGGAAATAAAAACTAATTTTCGTACCAAAAATAAAAACAAGGAGGCAATTTTCACATAAATATGACAATAAGAAAGGAACCCCCTCGAAGATTATCATTTATAAATATGAAAGTATCTGGACACGACTATACATCAATTTTTCGCCATGGAGCGAGGTCAAGAAATGCGATGCAAGCTAGGAAACAACGGACCGAGATGAACGGACTTATGTGATGGAATTAAAGCCTCCTACTTTGTTAAGACTAATTTCTTCACCCCAAAAAATTTACATCTATCACACATATTAATCTTATACTCCTTCTGTCCTAAATATAAAAACCTTATACTAGTATGTATAAGAGTCTTATATTTAGAACCGGAGGAGTATTTATTAATTTTTTTTAAATTATTCCTACTGATACTCTATCAACAATAATTAAGCAGGAAATGAAGAGAAAATATTAAGAAAGATAATTTTAATATTTTAAGAAAAAACATGTCATATTTTTTATAATTATCTAATTTAGTTAACTAATCAAGTTAGTTAAATACATCCTACATTATAAATCAAAGGAGTATAAAGGCAACCTAATGTAATTTTTTTATGTTATTCGTGAAAAATAAATCCGAGTATAGATGTCTTAAAATACAGTATTTGACAATGGTATAGCTACGTTAAAATAAAATAAAAAAAGCCCATATTTGATCTCTTGTTTATAATTATTGTTCCCGTAAATTTAAATTCCAGAGCTGAATTTTTTTTGTCGGAGTGCATTATTATCTCTGAATATGCATTTTTTTAAATTGTTATGGGAGCTTGAATTTTTTTTTTTTTTTTTGGCAATGATTATACAGTATGATGAGTTGATGACTAGGGCTCAAATAATCATATATTATGTGATGATGCAAGAGGCAATTAAAAGTGATTTGTTACCCAAAAAAAAGTGATTTTTTAAAAGAGCACATGGCATACTTAACGAGCCTCTTTTTTCCCAAACAATGAGTTGTATTGTGATGCTAGTTTTAGTTTTTTTTTTTTTCCATACAAAGTACTCTCCGGTCCTTATTATAAGACCCATTTGACTTTTTATTTGGTCCTAATTATAAGACCCAATCCATTTTTTCTCTTATATTTATGCATTTTTTTCCAAGATAATCCTTCTAATAATGATAGTTTTAATCAATATACTTAATTAGCAAGGATATTTTAGGAATAACAACACTTATTTATTATAAATAACTAATTTAACTTACTTCCTTAATCTCCTCAAATAAGTCAATTTGGTCTTATAATTAGGACCGGAAGAGTATCATTTATAATAATGCAGAGATGGAAACATTTAAGCCTATTTAAAAGAATTCGACCCTTTGGGAAAAAAAAACATATCAACGTCAGTTGGGCCCATGAAAAAACTGATATATGTCATTTAACAATAAAAAAGATAGATAAAGGTTTTTTATTTTTTTCCCCAAAAATATCCTTGAGAATGAAATGCCACATTCCCGACATTAGACCTCCTAACGTCCAAAATAAAATAATATAGGGTTGGAGTATTTGCCATTTTTTCCAATTTGCATTTAACAAAAACATAATAATAATGATAATGATAATGATAACGTTTTATATAATGGACAATGAACTTTGAGTCCAAAAAACAAAACAAAAACCTGTTAACTTCATTACTTATCGGGCTTGCATCTCTCTCTCTCTCTCTCTCGGTTGCTATTGCATTTTTGGGCCGAGTCAATGAAATGAGTTAAAAGATGGACTTACTTGGTCGGCCCAAAGTTTATTATAAGATGGGCCCAGAAAAAAGTCCCACCTGAATTAGACCAAGGATTTGTTTTCTTAAGGGGACCAAACCGCGGCTGGGGACCCATGAAGAATAAGCTATTCATCTGGGCCTAATAAAGTCATTTTCAGACGAATTTGAAACAAAACATCATCACACGAATTAAAATTTTTTTTATGATACATTAAAAGTTTAAAAGAGAAGTGCTTACATTTAGTGTTTGACAGTACCTCTAATAAAAAGATACCTATACTTTAGTAAAAAAAAAATTAAAAAGGAAAATGATTGTAACCATATTTTTGTAGTTACCACCAAAGTTTAAAGACTCTGGCACAGTCGAGACAATAATTTAAATTTTTTAACAGCGCAAATATAGTAATGTAAGAAACATCTATTTTCAATATATATATTTTTATAGTTGTCTAATGTTCAATTACTCTTCCGGTCTTAAATATAAGACTCTTATACTAGTGTATATAGGGGTCTTGTATTTAGGATCAGAGGAATATTTTATTTTGGCACACTAGTGCAGCATAAACAAACTACGTTAAAATCACATGCCATAGCCTGACACATTGTCCATTATGATTTTGAATTACTCCTCCGGTCCTTAATATAGGACTCAATTCTTGAGTTGGTTTTTGGTCTTAAATATAAGACCAATTTCTCATATTTATCAATTTTCTCTAAGTTATCCCTATAAATATTCTCTCAACCATAATCAAATAGAAGAGAAATATAGGGTATTAAGAAAGATGATTATGGTGTTTTAGAAAAAATGTGTCACTTTTCTTATAATTAACTAACTTATCTAACTTCCTTAATCTAATCAAATTAGTTAACTGGGTCTTCTATTAAGGACCAGAAGAGTATTTGAAAAATTATTTTCTGCCACTATTTATTTTCTGATGTGTGTATATATGTAAGGGCATAACGTGTGAGGGTGTCCCGTACGGCATGTACAGTGCAGAAAAGTGGAAGGCCACACAGCATGTGGGATCGTGGCTTTAATCAATGCCCCACATTTGTTGTTTCCTCAGCAAATTTATATCTGATTTCCTAACTACTCCTCCGATCCTAATTATAAGACCCAATTAACTTATTTGAGGAGATTAAAGAAGTAAGTTAAATTGGTTATTTATAATAAATAAGTGTTGTTATTCCTAAAAGATCCTTGCTAATTAAGTATATTGGCTAAAACTATCATTATTAGAAGGATTATCTTGGAAAAAAATGCATAAATATAAGAGAGAAAATGGATTGGGTCTTATAATTAGGACCAAATAAAAAGTCAAATTGGGTCTTATAATAGGGACCGGAGGAGTATATTGTTTTTATGCATATATTGTAATTTATAGATTAATATCTAATGAATATCCAAAATCATATACACACACAGCCTCCTTAGTACAACAACTCCGTCACTAATTTAGGCATATTAAAAATAATAATTAAGTTAATCATTTATAATAAATGTATGTTGGTTTTTCTATGTCTTTTTTATCATGTGCGTTGCAACTATCCTTAATAAAAAACTGCTTACTATGCGTAATCAATGAGGATACTCAGAAAAAAATTATAAATTTAGAAGATGAAATGGATCAGTATCTTATATTTAGGATCAAAGTAAACCGTTTATGTAGCACTTCTGTATACACACACTTAATTAGTATTTACTCTCCTATAACATTGATCTCCATCACCTCTTTAATGTGATAAGTGACCCTATTATATATTATGACCACAAAGCATTAATAGGAGTAATTTGTCTGGGTTGCTTTAACATATTAAAGGAGCGCAAACCGAAAACTAAACCTAACCAACCTAACAGCACCGAGAAGAAAGGGTTCTAATTTGATGGAGCTAGCTGGTGGTGTTGTCCTTCACCATTAAAGCGGGCACCCCCCCCCCCAAAAAAAGACCTAATTACTTACTCTCACATCATAGACTGTACCGCCCTTTATTTATGCTTTTGGATTGAATGGGTGTGAAAAACAGAAGCATGTCAACGTCATCACGAAGCTGATGGATCACGTTAAAAGAAGAAGAAGAAGAAGATCATTATATATTGAAACAAGGGGAAAATAATGGAAGGAGAGAGATGGAGGGTGATATGAGGACCACTAGGAAAAGAAGGCAGGGTTGATGAGGGTTTAGAAGATCCAAATGAAGAGTCAAAGAAGAAGATAAGATGATAGAATGGAGCATGTGGGTGTGCATGCTTGGGAGGATGTAATATGAGGGGACAAGGATCAACATTTTGGCCATTCCTTTCCTTTCAATATCATCCATCGCCTCCGTTTCACATCTATGTATGTAGTATGTACAATTACCTGCATATACTATGTATGTATCTTCTCTGCATTACAATTCCCTATAAAATATTACTCTTCTAGTCTTTAATATAATATCCATTTAACTAATTTGATTAGATTAAGAAAGTTAGGTAAGTTAATTAATTATAAGAAATGTGACAAGTTTTTTCTAAAATACTATAATCATCATTCTCAATACCTCTTTTCCTCTTCTACTTGATTATGGTTGAGGGAGTATCTATATGGATAAGTTAGGTAAGTTAGTTAATTATAAGAAATGTGACAAGTTTTTAAAATTCCCTATAAAATGTTACATATCTTTCAAGTGAGAGATTTTTAAAAAAATCTAAATCATTTTGTGCATATGCGACAATTGGTTGATCATATATCCCTGGCTATAATAATGCATAGCCACCGTGGTAGGTAATTATGTACAAATAATGAAGATCTTCAGAAAAGTATTATCGCCATGATCATCAGTTTCGGCCAACTTTATTGACATTTTAGTGATAATGTTTCAAAGGATGCATATTTTAGTCTTGACTTAGAATTAAAGAAATATCATTAGATTCTTATGTTATATATGGGATTCTTCTTAGTAATTATGCGTCAAATGCATAAACTATATGAGAAAAAAATGATATGGAAAAAGGATCGATTAAAGAGTGGGTGTGATATGATTTTAAATCACGAAGTTTTCATCGGTATGATTAAGCACGATAATATGAGGGCGGAATTTGGTGAATGGGTTGCCACCAGGAAGAAAGTGTGCGATTCACGCTTGATGAAGATATTAGAAAGACTACTAACAAAGTTGATTTTAAGTTTAACACAAAGAATTAGTTTCTTACGATATGACAAATTAAGGTTTCATTTTTTGGAAAAAGAAAATATGTTCACATGTAATACCCGACATAACCGCAAACAGGATTTTGTATTTAACATCTTAAAATATTTTTTCAATATAACATCTAGTATCATAAAATAA